ACCTAAGAAAAAATATCAACTCGGATGATAAAATTGTGCAACTTGTTCTTATAACAGATAAGTTATAAAGGGTATTAAATATAATTAAATAACAAAAAGGATAGATGGATTGTAAAATAGAACTAATAAAATGAGATATAGCACATAGATCATTGAAATTACATTTAAAGCCGATATTGACTAATTTGCAGAAGATTTGCTTGTAATTATTATCATGATACAGAGGGAAAAAAAGCCAAACCGAAAAAGGAAAAATAATAATAATTTTTCGGTTTTGAAAAAAAAAAACTGAATCCGGGAAAAGAATGAAAAAAAAAACAAAAAAAAAGGAGGAAAAAAACGAAACATTTTTAAAAAAGAAAAAAAAGGAAAAGAAAAGGATGCTTCGAAAGAGAAACGAGGAAATTTGAAAAAAAGTAAGAACCATTTGTAAAAGATCGGTTTAAGAAAAGGGGGAACCGGAAAAATTTAGATTGAAAAAACTGGTAAAAAAATAAAAAATTCAGATTAAATTTCATTAACCGGAATATTGGATTAGTCAAGGCAGGTCTTAACTATAAAGCATACGGATCAACAATTCAAAATTAATTTATACAGGCTAATCTAAACGTTAGTCACACAAACACCATTTTTTAATTATATAGAGTGAATATTCTCATATAAATATAATGTATTGACTCAACTGGAGTAAAAGAAGTCGGAGAATACTCCAGTTAGTGTGGTTTTTAATGCAGTGGCTTTGCTATTTTATATTTCAAATATGATTCAGTGTGATTTCAAGGTTAAAAGAGGTTTTTTTTTTAAATCACAAACACATATTATACAATAAATGATGCAAAAGCGTACTTTTGTTATTAATATTAAAAAGAATTTGCATAAAGTTATGAAAAAAATTTAATAAGAAAAATTTTTTTTTCAAATAATTGTGACTATGATCGACTATGATCGACATCGAACCAACTCAATCAAGAAGCTTCATTACGCAATGCTCACATAAGTAATTTGTGCCAACTGTTGTGTTACCTATTACTTGTACGTTACATTCTTACATAGTTTATTATAAATAAAGATTTTTTTTGAAAAAATTTTTGAGCTTTTGAAAACAATGTTTCCTCAAAATATACCTTTAACAGAAGATAATATTCTGGAATATTTAGAAACCAATTTTACAAATTGGACTAGCGGAAATGAAAAAATCAATAGTTTCATTAAAGAAAGGCAATTAAAAATAAATGTCTATGATTATAATGATATAGTGCTTGAATGGATACCATACAATCAGTTTAATGAAGTTAAAGAGACAGGCAAAAATGGTCTTATAACAGTATATTCAGCAATATGGAAGGATGGTCCATTACGCTATATTGAACAGGATGAAAATTATACTAGAGATTCAAATAAAAAAGTTGCTTTAAAATGTTTTCATAATTCACAAGAATCCATTGATTCTTTAATAAATGAGGTATGAAAATCTTTAATTATTTAAATGTTTATTCTAATATATTTACATCTCTTTTATTTATATTTAGGCTAAAAAATATTCAACAAACCATAGAGCAATTCAAGTATTGTATGGAATATCTCAAAATCCAGATACAGGAAATTTTATTTTTGTTCAAAGCTATACCATAAACTTGACAAATTGGATTAGTGGAAATGAAAAAATTGATGATTTCATTCAAGAAAGGCAATTAAAAATAAATGGCTATGATGATACTATAGTGCTTGAATGGATATCATACAATCAGTTTAATGAAATTAAAGAGACAAGCAAAAATGGTCTTATAACAGTATATTCAGCAATATGGAAGGATGGTCCATTATATAAGAAGCATTGGCGGGATGAAAATTATACAAGAGATTCAACTAAAGAAGTTGCTTTAAAATGTTTACATAATTCACAAGAATCCATTGATTCTTTAATAAATGAGGTATGAAAATCTTTAAATATTTAAATATTTTTTTTGATTAATATATTTACAATCTCTTTTATTTATATTTAGGCTAAAAAATATTCAACAAACTATAGAGCATTTCAAGTGTTGTATGGAATATCTCAAAATCCAGATACGGGAGATTATATTTTTGTTCAAAATTATATAGTAAAATTGACAAATTGGATTAGTGGGAATGAAAAAATTGATGATTTCATCCAAAAAAGGCAATTAAAAATAAATGACTATAATGATATAGTACTTGAATGGATACCATATAACCAGTTTAATGAAATTAAAGAGTTCAGCAAAAATGAACTTATAACAGTATATTCAGCAATATGGAAGGATGGTCCATTATATAAGAAGCATTGGCGGAATGAAAATTATACAAGAGATTCAAATAAAGAAGTTGCTTTAAAATGTTTACATAATTCACAAGAATCCATTGATTCTTTAATAAATGAGGTATGAAATTTCTTCAAATATTTAAATACTTTTTTAATTAATATATTTACAATCTCTTTTATTTATATCTAGGCTAAAAAATATTCAATAAATCATAATGCATTTCAAGTATTGTATGGAATATCTCTAAATCCATATACAGGAGATTATTTTTTGGTTCAAAATAATTATATATGGACAAGTGAAAATGAAAAAATTGATGACTTCATTCAAGGAAGGCAATTAAAAATAAATAACTATGATGATATAGTGTTTGAATGGATACCATACAACCAGTTTAATGAAATTAAAGAGACAAGCAAAAATGGTTTTATAACAGTATACTCAGCAATATGGAAGGATGGCCCATTATATAAAAAATATAACCAGAGTAATAATTATACAAGAGATTCAAATAAAGAAATTGCTTTAAAATGTTTATATAATTCACAAGAATCTATTGATTCTCTAATAAATGAGGTATGAAATTTCTTTAAATATTCAACTATTTTTATTAATTAATATATTTACAATCTCTTTAATTTATAATTAGGCTAGAAAATATCCAACAAAAATTAGAGCATTTCAAGTATTGTATGGAATATCCCAAAATCCAGATACAGGAGGTTACATTTTAGTTCAAAATAATTCTATAAATTTAGTAAAATGGATCAGCGGAAATAAAAAAATTGATGACTTTATTCAAGGAAGGCAATTAAAAATAAATGACTATAATGATATAGTACTTGAATGGATACCATACAACCAATTTAATGAAATTAAAGAGACAGGCAAAAATGATATTTTAATGGTATATTCAGCAATATGGGGGGATGGTCCATTGTATTGTCAGTATAATAATGAATATACAAGAGATTCAAATACAAAAGTTGCTTTAAAATATTTATATAATTTACAAGAATCCATTGATTCTTTAATATATGAGGTATAAAATTTCTTCAAATACTTAAATACTTTTTTAATTAATATATTTACAATCTCTTTTATTTATATCTAGGCTAAAAAATATCTAACAAATCATAATTCATTTCAAGTATTGTATGGAATATCTCAAAATCCAGATACTGGAGATTATATTTTGGTTCAAAATAATTATATATGGAAATGTGAAAATGAAAAAATTGATAATTTCATTCAAAAAAGGAAATTAAAAATTAGTAATTATGATGATGTAGTGCTTGAATGGATACCATACAATCAGTTTAATGAAATTAAAGAGACAGGCAAAAATGCTCTTATAACAGTATATTCAGCAATATGGAAGGATGGTCCATTATACAAGAAGGGCCAGTTGAACAATTATTATACAAGAGATTCAAATAAAGAAGTTGCTTTAATATTTTTACATAATTCACAAGAATCAATTGATTCTTTAATAAATGAGGTATAAAATTTCTTCAAATATTTAAATACTTTTTAATTAATATATTTACAATCTCTTTAATTTATAATTAGGCTAGAAAATATCCAACAAAGTATAAAGCATTTCAAGTACTGTATGGAATATCTCAAAATCCAGATACAGGAGATTATATTTTTGTTCAAAGACACTTGACAAATTGGATTAGTGGAAATGAAAAAATTGATGATTTCATTCAAGAAAGGCAATTAAAAATAAATGACTATAATGATGTAGTGCTTGAATGGATACCATACAACCAGTTTAATGAAATTAAAGAGACAGGCAAAAATGCTCTTATAACAGTATATACAGCAATCTGGAAGGATGGTCCATTATACAAAAAGGACCAGTTGAACAATTATACAAGAGATTCAAATAAAGAAGTTGCTTTAAAATGTTTACATAATTCACAAGAATCCATCGATTCTTTAATAAATGAGGTATGAAGTTTCTTCAAATATTTAATACTTTTATTTTCTAATTAATATACTGTATTTACAATTTCTTTTATTTATGTTTAGGCTAAAAAATATCCAACAAAACATGAAGCATTTCAAATATTGTATGGAATATCTCAAAATCCAGATACAGGAAATTATATTTTTGTTCTTATCTGGACAAGTGGAAATGAAAAAATTGATGATTTCATCCAAGAAAGGCAATTACAAATAAATGACTATAATGATGTAGTATTTGAATGGATACTATACAGTCAGTTTAATGATATTAAGGAAATAGGTAAAGGTGGTTTTTCTACAGTATATTCAGCAGAATGGAGGGATGGTCC